GTTTTGTATTGCTTGTGTTTTTGTATTTACCTATTTTCAGGAAATTAGTTCTCCAGTACGTTTTTGCCTGCTGCCTTGGACTTCAAGCCTCTCACCAGTTTCTCATGCGCTGCCTCCAACAAATCACTGTAAATATCCACGCACCTGTAAATACTCACCTTGGGAATCCTACCTTTGTGGACCAACTCCTCCGTGCTTCATCTCCTTCCCCAAACCGTAAGAGCCTACCTGCCGCACTCACTTGTTTAAGTCCTCTTCTGGAAAATTATCAAGTACTCACCTCTACTACCGTTCTGTTCCAGGTCCAGACCCCAGATCCCTCCCGCACCTGTAAAAATAAAAATCACTTATCTTTTATCACATGCCTCCGTCTCTGTTTGTCGCTGGTACTGCTCACGTTGTCCCAAAACCTGTGTTTATGACAGTTCTTTAAAGGAATGCTTATTGCCCGATGCATTTAGTTCCAGTGTTTTAGACTAAGATCGTTTTTTATCTTGACAAATAGAGTAATGCTTAAGTAGGTTTGACCTGGGAAGAATATTAGGCACTAGATTTTGAGTGATCTTTTAAAGCTGGAAGTATGTGTTGTGGATGACTCGCCGTTATTACCACACCGAATTTCACTGAGTTATAATCATTTTATTGTTGGCTAAAGTTGATTAGTTTTGGTGGCAATTTTTTTTTATTAGAAATACAGGGGGTATCCAGGCTTGAACTGAAGACCTCTTGATCTGCAGTCAAATGCTCTGCCACTGAGCTACACCCCCTACAGTTTTGGTGGCAATTTTGAGTTGATCTCAGAAGTTTATCAGTAGTAGACTCCTATCCAATGAATACCCTCTGAGAGCTTCATTGAGATATTTTGCTAACAGACAGACACAAACACATAGAGAAGAAGAAAAGTATTGTTGTCTTCTTATTGTCTTTGGGCGATGAGCGATATTGAACTTCAGTTCAGTTTAATTTAATTCAATTTATTTATAGAGCGCCAAGTCAAAACAATACAAAAAACAAATGTAAAGAAGGCAGCAGACTTGTTGAATCTTCCTTTGAGAGCGGTGATTCCATTACTTATTTTTCAGGGTTGTGAAAACCTGTATCTACTGATGGTTTTTACTTYAAGACTGACTGTTCTCCTTTTCTTCTACAATCCAACATCCTCCTCTTCCCCAGCTGAGGAACAGGCTGAACCAGGATCAGAGTAGCAGGCTGCAGCAGCAGAAAGACTGCCTGAACAAGACCAACATGGAGGTTGCTGTGATGGACCGGCGCCTGGCTGAGCTCCGACAGCGCCTTTGGAAAAAGAAGGCAGCTCTGCAGCAGAAAGAGAATCTGCCTGTAGGTTTGAACAAGCATCAGGAATTTGTAAAAAACTATTTTAAACATTGGTGATTATCAGTGGTGGGCACCAGCCTGCAAAAGCACAAATCCGCTAATTGCAGACCAAGTATTTTGTTTGCGCTTAAGCAGTTTTACTAATTTTTATAATTCATAAGCAGATTTGTGCTTTCTAAAATTAAAATGTAGTACCGCTAATAATTAATTATCTACTAGTCATCATTATGTTGAACAGCAGAAGGTATAGCTGTCAATGAATCACAACACATGATCTATCTAACAACACCCCTCCCAGATAAACACACTTATTGTGAAGGTATACATCCTGCAGACTGTTGCTTTGGGTCACGGTTCTCATTTCCCACAATGCTTTGTGTCTGCTTACATAGGAAGGCAGTGTTTGTTACTTCCTTTCCCAGCAAAAACAGTAAACGTTTGTAATCCATACTAAAACTTTGCATGAATTGATTTCTTTTTCTTTACAATCGGAGCTCCTTTTAAAAAAAAAATAAAGTTTAAACGCTGGAGCTCAATACTTGATGTAATTAGTCGAAACAACGGGTTTAGAGACTTATGCTGATGAACACTGACATCTAGTGGTCAACTGGAGCAGCATGGAAAATGTCCTGATGCATCTCTGTAATCCAGGTAGAAAAAA